GGATTCAAGCAAACTTTTATGATAGTGAACAGATTATAAATATATATACCATATACACCGAGTAATGGATACAAAAAAAACCTATGGGAAAGTTGGTATAGGTCACTTGAATATCCTAAAGGTGGGTGCATGCAAAAATAAAACCAGAGTAGTCCAAATGGACGTGTGACTTACTAAGTACAGGATTATGGACTCATTTTTGAGTCATTTCGCTTTTGTGAAGACCAGTGATACTACACAACTCTCGAACCTGAGTGATTTAACCACTAACCCACTGTGAGGTATAGAAAAGAAAATTAAGGTTTTTTAAGCCCTTTTCTTATCTTAATTTGGCCTTGTTTTTAATGGTCTGTTGACAATATTTTGGTAGATTAGTATTTCTACACTACCAACTGTCCAACTGTTACCTAATTCAACTTTGGTTATTGATTCATTTATTTGGTTTTCTAAACAACCTGATAGATGCAGCAGATTTTCGCATTTCTGAGTAATAAAAATGAGAAAAGAAGTAGAGAAATCTATCATAAATTAACTTACAGGAGGCTTCTTGAAGTCGATTCAGCAACCAAACGCAAATAGAATGTATAGGTAACCAAACTCAATAGAACAGAAAAATACAATAACTAGAAAACAACTATGGTCAGGAGTGTTGCGCTGGTTTGGTAATAAACCCGTCTCCCTTTCAATTATTAGGTAGAAACTTTGAACCCCGATCCACTTCGGTTCGGGGAGCCGAGTATTATCGATAGCTTTCGAAGCATACTTCAAAGCCGAGTACACGAAACTGTACTTCGTAAGTGAGATACACCATCATCATGGTCAGGAAGATAAACCCTGGAAAATGTTGAACTAAATGATCTAATTGTAATCCGAGAATACACGAGAATAAACTTTAGTCTATAATGATTCATAACGAATCGTAAATTGCCAACTATATTTGGCTAACATGTGTTCATTAACTATGAAACCAATATATAAATGCATTCAACATAGAAACAGCAGACAATTTTAACCGGTTCGTTATAGATAAGCAGATATAATGACACAAACTTACAATGGCCTATTAGTGCAGTGAATGAAAGTTAGACGTATATTTTTGTCAGAAGAGTAAAAAGTAAACATTTCTACATGAATCCCTGAGAGTATAATTTTATAATATCGTTTTTCTTCTAATTCTAAAATAAACACATCTAATAGTAAACTGTCTTGATAGTAGGATTGCACAAAAATATCGGTGATTGATAATGCAACGTTTTGAAAACCAAAGTTCTCTTTTAGTGAGAAACTTTACTTCCACGCCTCACAACGGATAAATCAGTCAGTCAGTCAATAACAACGTGGAACTTCGTACGTACGTACATCAGTTCGAGTTGCCATACCACATTAACACATAGATTTGTCGATTCAAATCGTGTAGTGGTAGAGGTAGTAAAAGTATAGGCAGTATTCGGAAAGATTGGGGTTTGAAGATGTTATTTAAGGAGTATAATCCAGTGAAATAAATTTGGAAGGAGAAAAAAAGTACACGAAGAATTCAGAAATCTAGGATTTGGGAGTACACAAAGAGTGGATGCACCTGCACCATTGCAAACGATTTTGAGCCATGTCATTCAAGGTCTCTAACCATCGGTTGCTATCATCTCGCGGTCCCCAACCAAGTAGTCTACACCTACCAACATGGCTCAGTCCACTTGTCAGTGACTTCATGGATTTGTGCCATGTTTTGGTCTGGCCGCCCCTAGTTTCCTTCCAACCTACTCCTACACCATAAAACACCGCACGTCGGGGCAGTCGGTGGTCGGGTATACGCAGCACATGTCCCAGCCATCTCAACTGATTAAGTTTCACTACTTCATCAATTGATTTGCCATCCTTACCTAGTACCCGTTTCATAACAACTGCATTACTTACTCGGTGGTCCCAGGATACACGAGCGATGTTTCGAAGACACCTATGGTCAAATACTAGTAACCTACGAATATCCTCTACTCTTACCGGCCATGTTTCACTGTCATAAAGTAGGACGGAACGAACTGCTGCGCAGTAAACACGTCCTTTGGTTGATAGACGGATATCTCGCCTACGCCACAAATGACGCAAGTTGACAAAAGCTACTCGAGCCTTTTGTATCCGTGCTGAGATTTCGTCACACACCAAACCACAAGGGCTGATGAAACTTCCGAGATAAGTGAAGCGGTCGACACGCTCAACTACTTCACTTCCTATCACTAGTTCGGGTGTCGACGCAACCCAATCCTGAAGCAACATTTTGCATTTCGAGGGAGAAAATCGCATGCCGAACATGCTTGCATTGTTGCTTAGAGTGGTCAGCAGACTCTGCATTCTGTCAGCGTCTTCACTAAATAGAACTATGTCATGGGCATATTCTAAGTCAACAAGTGAATCTCCCGGTAGAAGTTCAACTCCTGTAAATTTAGAAGAGGAAAGTGTCATCTCTAAAAGGACGTCAACGACAAAGTTAAACAGTAATGGAGAGAGTGGACAGCCCTGACGAACACCACTTGAGGTAATCAATTCTGATGACAGTTCACCATAAGCTCTCACTCGACCAGATGTGTTCGAGTAGAGAGCCTTTATAAGGTTGATGTACTTCTTTGGTACTCCCTTCAGTGACAAACACTGCCATAGAACCTCACGATCAACAGAGTCGAATGCCACCTTAAGGTCAAGGAATGCTACCATTGTGGGGCGTCTGAATGTGTGTCTATGTTCTAGGACCTGATGTAATGTGAATATTTGATCAATACAACCACGTCCAGGTCGAAAACCAGCCTGGTTTTCTCTAATCTGCTCTTCACGAGCTTTGGTTAGACGTCGAAGTATTATTGAAGCTAATATTTTAGACACTATATTAGTCAAACCAATTCCTCTGTGATTGTCACAGGAGGACTTTTGTCCTTTCTTATAGACTGGCACAATCAGTGATTGAGACCAGTCAGATGGGATTACGTCCAGTTCCCAGATTCTACCCAAGACCTCAGTCAATCTCGCTGCTAATACTGGACCACCATCCTTAAAAATCTCAGGGGTAAACCTGTCAGGGCCTGTCATGTAGAACTAAACTTTCTGTAATGATATTTTTAAGTCATATCAGAGAGGGATGTAGCAGAATTTGCATCCACTGTAAAAGAGGAGCACATCATACAACTTTCTTGATTAATGCTGTCTCTCCACTTACAAAATAAGATACTGAGTGCTACAAGATAACCTCTGTGTGTTTAGTAAGAATAAATATTCTATCTATAAATATGCTCTAATAAGGACCATTGCTTATGACTTTAGCTAGAGTTATTCCCCGTACTGGAGTTTTCCATTAATGCGAAAGAACAAAAGATGCATATCCGGCACATAAATCAGATCAGTTGTTGAGGGAGCTTCATCCATGGAAATCGAAATTTCCTAAGTGTAATGCCTTCTCGAGGCGGGGGTGTTTTATACGAAATTGAGAGGACGAAAGGCGAATGTCCGGTGCTTTAACCGGGTTGGTGGACACGGAGAGTTCACCTAGGGGAGTTGGAAAACCCTGATTCCAAACCAATGGTATCCTGAAGGAATAAATGGCGTATGAACCGATCGTTGGTCACTGACTACCATGGGACTGCATCTCCTGACGTTGCTCCACTGTCTTGTGGATCAGAACTTCAAGTCGAAGGCTCCGAGTGTAGCCTCCTAAGAAAACCACCTACTTCGGTTTGGGCACCGGGCAGTATCACAGCTCTCGCACAAATCGAATGATTTATGTGGAGCATATCTATTTGGTGCCTCCTTGTACCAATGTTTATGTGTTTAAATGAATAAAGTGTAAATCAACGATGCAAACAGATTATTAAAAGACGAAAACATGAATGATGTATTAATTTGTTCTGGTTATCGACACATGTAAGCTTGACGCCTACTATCATACTCCTTTTACTACAACAGAATGGAAAGTATTCATACATCCTACAAATTACATTTCTATGTTTATTTTATTAAAAAATAACCGTCTTCTATGTACATTCTTTAAGGACTAATAACTCAAGTATTAACTAACCGCCACAAAATGGTTAACTAGAAAAAGCTAGTAAAGCTTACTGTCATTAACACGTTTGTGGTGGTTAGAAGGCTAAATAATTTGTCATGTATTAATAGAGAATAAGATGTTAGTTTTTGCCTTCTAACACAGCAATGAACAAATTCTAACCATCTGTCTCGATTTGATAGTTATATTATTTCTATGGTTAAGATCATGAGTCAGTTGAAGCTAGACCATAATGGAAAACCTGGAAGCACTGGACGGCCGTTTCGTCCTATTGTGGGACTCCTCAGCAGTGCGCATCCACGACCTCGCCCCCTGCGGGATTCGAACCCAGGACCTAATGGTTTCACGCGCGAGCAGTTAACCACTAGACCACTGAACTAACCGGCATCCAACGGTGTTAATGTCTAACTTCTTTATGAAAAATTTGACGAAACAATCTAAAAACTTAGATGCTTTATTTGTCAACGTGAAGATTTCGGAAAATTTGATTAAGTCTAACTGTAGTACAGTTTGTAGTATAACTTTTCCAGATACTTTCTGAATGGGTTACTATGTTCAGTTTTCGGTAGTTGGCAAACGGACATTTTAGTGCGTGATACCACCGTAAAACTTATTGAAAAAACAGACTATATATATGCATAAAACCAGAGATTCATTACAGAACAATTAATGTACTGAGGGAAAAACTCGATCACCTATTTTGATAAGACAAAGTCATGATAAAATCATGAGTAAAACTTGAAAATATACTGCAATAAAATCAATGTTTTTAAACAACAATCGACAAAAAGCAATGAGCTATCAGATTCGCTGTTGTTACCTAATGGATATATTCAAAGTTCCCAACACCAGATTTGTCAAAATATATCTTCGACCCCCCTCCCATTACCAAGAAAACTACTTTTATGGGTCAGAAAACTTTACATACTCAAATTTAGTATAGTAACTTTTAACTCACCTGAGCAGCAAAAATTTCTTTTCGATGTCGAGGTATATAGACCGAGGTTGCTACACAACCAGCAAACACAACACGCAACAAAGCTTTGTCTAACACAGGACCATGGAAAGTAGGGCATGCTGCCAAAGACGTATCCAGATCCATTCGAAGAAGACCGTTCCTCAGGGCCCAAGCAGTAGCCGCTATATAGTTGCGCAAATTATCAACAGACTGATCGAAGTCTGAATCAAAAGAATGAAGATTAAACTTAGCTAACAAACCTGAGGACAAAGTGGGATCTTCTGATCGCCTTAACGAAGACGAAGGCTCGGAGTATTTCATGACAGTTTCCTTAATCGCATTTAATGGAGCAGTAATGAACCCATCTGGATCAATCATATCACCCTCACTATTATCACTGTAGAAAAACTCTGAAGTGGAAATTTTTAAAATATTACGAAAACCATAACGCTTCAAATATATAAAAATTCCGTGAAGCTAAGTATTCATTAACAAAATGTATCACGATTTGCTTTGAAAAACAGCTTACGAAAATAAACGTATATAATACCGAATATGTCGGTTAAACGACGATGATAATTCAACTTATCTACAATCTAAGCTCAATTATATTTTAAACCCCTAATTACTGAATTATTACTGTCTGACCTTAAAGGTATTATCGACTTTGATAACTTATTCAACTTCCAGTTAACACAGTTGAGGAATAAGGTTCGAACTGGCAATCTATAACTGACTAAACTACTTCACTCCTCATATAAGAAAAAACTTTGATTTAGTCAGCCATTCTGCTAATCGACTGCGAATCAATCAGTAAATCACTAAGCAAAAAGAATCGTTAGAAAAAAACAATCAACAAGAAGCTACCTATAAGAACATGATGAGGATGGAATTAATTAGTGCATTTGTTTCAAGGTCCTTAAACGTTCATGAAACTCTAAGAATACGGCAATACATTCTCATGATACGTCTTTTGTACTACATTAGTGTACATACAATATGACGATGAAGAGACGCAAATATACATACTCACTTTGGAATTAAAAAAGATCCAGTAAAAGTACTAGTTAAATGACCCAATGATTCCTTTCGTATTAACAAGTGGATAATAGTATTTAGTATTAAAAACTATTTAGTCAAGCAAATAGATGCTTTGATGAAAAGTTTACAAACACTGATATGAATCAATAAATAGTCAGAGAATGAAAAATACAAGATGAAACAAAAGTTGAATCCTATGTTTTGATAGAAACTTTAGTGAATTACTGTAATTAATGCAAATGAATCAGATTTTATCTACGCCTGTGACCATATGTTCGGCAATACAAAAACAAACCATGACCCTCAAAGCCTAAGAAAAGTGGGAAGGGATGCTGATATAAACCCCGTTTTCCGTAGTGTGAACACTATCGCACTAATTCGACACATTGTAAACGTTTTTAATCAGAGAATTAAACAGTGACTGTTTTGTTAACAAACCTACTTTTGTGACCCTCAAAACTTACAACTATCATTTTGTCGAAAGGTCGATCCCAAAAATTTTCAGACAAATTTTAATAAACAACATAAAACCTGACACAAATGTTTTTTTTGTTTTAAGATGCTACACAACTAACACCAACATGTCGATAGGAAATTACAGATGTAAAACAACAGCACGAATGAATTTGATATTGAACCAGATAGAAAAGCTATAGAATATGATTGATAAAATTACATTAAAGTATCAAAAACAATCACGGACTGCTTGTCTACCACCAAAAATAGAATTGAAGGTGACGGAATTAACCAATTATACAAATTATTATTCAAATAATCCGCATGAAATCTAAATAAATTCAAAAAAATATAAAAGCTGAAGAAACTTAAATTGTGCAAGTTAAGCATCTAAATTGTGCGACCTACCCCTTTCATCACAGGTTGACAGTAGTTCTTCAAGAAATTTACTGATGTGTCCAATATGTGCATCACGAACAGACAACGGTAGAGGGCCCCAGGGACCCCAAGGCCCCCAGCTAACACTAGGCTGATTATGCATAGAAGTCAGATTAGGATTGGGAAATCTGGAATTTTTATCCGCTTTCAAACCAAACTCGATGCGTTCAGATTCCCCGGTAACCACTGCACCAGAAGTCATCCACAATGTGACCGCCAACTCACAAATTGAACGCGGAGTACGTAACTCCTTAATTTGGTGGAGATTTCGTAAAGCGATTTCAGATACTTTTGGAGGTAGAAGACCAGAAATTATGTAATCACTGTGTAGCAAATTGACTGCATGAGCACAAGCATGTCCACCATGCCCATCAACAACCGTAAATAATGTACCACCATAAACCGATTTCTCATCGTTCGACTGTTTGTGATCGCTGAGAGTAAGAGAATTAAAGTCCCCTTCACCAAAATGAGAAGCCATCCACCTATCTTCGACCGGGCGATTGACACTAACCTAATTTTATTAACAAAAGCTGGTGATACAGCAAACACAAGTATGACACAAATAAATATGAAATCGAAAGCAATAAGAACATAAAAATCTCGCAGTTTATTTACTAGTACTGGGAATAAATAACAATATGGATTTGGCATTATGAATGAACACTTGCAAAATAAACTAGTGAACCTACGAATTTGAGCATGATTAGAATTTTGATTCAGTAAATAGATAAACAATAGAAAAATTGATAAAAACAGCATACCATGAAAACAACAATATTCCATAATGGTTAAGTATGAGGGAGAATGTAGTTTATTATTAAATGCCAACTACACTTAAAAGTCGAATGCAAATTTAGATCAACTGGTAATTAGACGGATTTATGACCACTACATTTTCAGCTGAGAAAAATGAACTCGGTAACGCATATAACTGTTTGATATCACGTAACCTTGTATAAGCATATACAATCATAAAAATATGTTTTAAGAGCGACTATAGTTATGAAGGCAAATAGTGTACAAGACTAGCTATCCAAGTGACTTCAGAACGACTAATAGTAGTTTAAACCAACGCGAATACCTCAAAATCACTAATACTTAAAAACAATTAAGAAATAGATAATTATTTGAGCACTGTTGGAGGATAAATGATAAAATACAACCGTGTAAAGTAAGAATTACTTGATTGGCTGAAAATATGACACGCTCATTTTTTCCTTTGTACGTTAACTCTTGACCAGAAATGCGTTTACTAACATCAGTTTCAGAAACTTTTGTTTCGATAATATTTTCAAGCCCATCAGTGAATCCATGAATCCGCCGTTTACAAGCAACTCGAAGTAGTTCTCCGTAAGTTGATTGGTAAAAAGGCTTTTTCAAGAATAAATTCAAAGAAATGACAACCTGGGAGAAAACATTAATAAAATATACTCTGATAAATACGAAATCACAACCACCATAGTAATCCAGAAGCAGTAACGCAACATAAATTAGCATAAGCTTACACCAAATGAATAAAGTATTAAATTTCATTTCGTAATTTGCTTGAAAACTGTATGATGATCCTCAACACCAAAGACGGTAAGCAAATTAATGAAGCTAACAACATTGTATGCACGCTTACAACTATCTGTAAAAGTACTACACTTCCCGGAGTTTGGTTTACAAATAATTGGCCACCAGTTTAAATCTAATCTACTCAATATTCTCCAGAACTTTAAGATAATGATTGCTATTAACCTTTATGTACGTCATTTCTCCATAAATTATTACGAAATTCTCATGAATAAAAGTAAATCAGATTGAGATTTTAAACTTATACCAGCGAACTCAGGTAGCTTATCTCCACCAGTATGTTACTAATAAATTCCAAGTCCTTTATGGTATACATCAGTCGTAAGAAGCGTCAAGGACGTTTTGGATTTCATCTCCAGCCTGGAAGATATGAATGTAAGCATAAAGTATATTATCTCACTAGATTTCGTATCTTTACTCACAAATGTACCGTTAGTCGAGACAATCGAGTTTATATGTAAATAAATATAAAAAATAAGTCGATATTGGCCTTTGTGAGGATAGTCTCACGGAATTACTCTTAAAGTATACGATGAGGGTCCTTTCTGTCTTCAACGATAACTATTATGGACAAATTGATGGAGTAGCTATTAGCTCATTTCTAAACCCGAACGAGCTTGACAATAGACTAAATTTCTTTGACATTTCACTAAGTAGTCGGGTTGAGGGGCTCGTTAAGCAAAAGCGTGCATACAAAGGGCTCCTCTCTTTGCCAATGCACACATTTCTATAGTTTCACACCAGAGCGCTACAAAAGGAATCTGGTTAGATGTCTTACAAACAAGGCAAAAACGATCTACTCAGAGGATACCATAAAGAAGTTGAAACTTATTATTAACATACTGATGGAAATAAATTAACCAAGGTCATTAAAGCATACGTATGCGGGGAAAAGTAACTTGGAGATGGTGACCGCTAGTAAAAAATCTTTGTTTTTAATAGTATATCGTACTTTTTATTATACCACACCATACTGTCTCATTTTCACCATCCTTGATGTTATTATCCCGAGTGTTTTGTCAGTCGTGTTAGTTTCTCTTCCCCATACTATGAAGAATGATGTCTTACGCTGTTTAAGACTAATATAGTCGAATAAGATAACCAAGACGCGTTATGCAGACAATGAATCTTAACCCCAAAGCAAAAAACTGCAATCTAAGGAGCGCCAGTTAATCAGCTAAAGAACCTGCCTTTCAATAATGTCTCATATTTGAACTCTTCATTCTCTAAAACAGGTTTGGAAGCCGAGTGGTATAACTAGTCCTTGCTATGTGGCCCAGCGCTGAGCACATAAACTCGTACTCGGTAAGTTATATTATACCTACTAAATCTCAGTCACTAATGGTTATTTTGAATCTCCCACTAATTATACCCGTCAGTAAATTAAAGTTTTGGCTCAAAACGTACCCTATAAATGAAGAGAGAGCAGCTGCAATTTGGATCTGAGGACTTTAAACTAGCATAACGCTTAGTGTTAGACCATTATGGACTAACATATTCAGCTCTAACAATATTCGCCAAATCATTGAAAATAAACTGATTTTCGAACCTTTCGTAAGTGATAGTTAATCACTATCAATGTTGAGTCTAGCAAAGATGTGCGCTAGCTCAAGTTTACATACCATGTTGCCAGGACAAGGTAAAATTAACAAGATGAGTTGTAAAACATATTGAAATAGTGTAGCAGCTATGACATAGAGGACTCCTAATAATTTGAGATATAGTTCGAAATGATAATAGGAAGGTATGTATAAGGGAATATTAGAATTCAAAATCGAAGTGAAGGTTGATAGAGATGAATGAATCCACACCATTGGGACTGATTTCGAGCCATGGTACATAAGGTCTCCAACAACTGATCAAGGTTATCGCGCGAACAACCAAGTAATCTGCATCCTCCAACGGCCCAGGACATCAAACACTGAATTTAAGGACTAATACTGCCTTGATCTGGCCTGCCGTAGCTTTTAGAACCAAACTCTACGCAAGCAGACTGCTGCTGCAGTATATACACTGGTTGATAGATGGACACCTGTCTACGCCATAAGTGACAAAAGCCAACCAGTCTTTTTAAATCTGTAACGAGATTTCGTAAGTCAGTCACAACGTAGAACTCGGTATGTATTTACAGTGGTTTCAGAGGCCACCTTTAAACTTTTGGTGTTTGATGTGAACACATAACTATCTATTGACAAACTTCATAGTAACTCAACGGCATGGTTTCAAGAAGTCACTCCTGTATCACCAATCTGTTGACAGTAAGATATAACTGGATCAGTACCCACGTTGTAAGAGTAAGTTAAATGAAATATCTTCGTTTCTAAAAATCCTTTGAACATGTCCACCACACCACAAAACCCAAATTTTGGAACTTCCTATCATCTGAAGTGGTCCAAGCAACCTGTCATGGACCACCTTAAGAATGACTGCCAACAACTCAGCATAACACCATAGGTTAATTTCAGAAAGCACTTAACAATTTTGGTTTTTACATACCAAAGTCCCTATCCGGAGGCACAGGTGGTCGATTGATACAAAGGAACAAGACACAACAACCCATTAAACGAAAAACTGCTTTATTCCATTCTCACCAATTTGAAGCATACTGGCACATACTTTATGCATAAGCCGGCTTATCAGAAACCTAGACTAAGCATACTAGATCCCTGATAATTAACCTTAACGAATTATTTAAATATGACGAACATCTAACTACCACTCTTAGTATGTCTCAATATAACTTAATAACTGCTTTTAAAATCTTTTAAACGAAAGAGAAAAAAAGAGCAAACCTAACCACTTACGTTTCTCATCAAATTACTTTCGGCTCCACGAGGACTAGATGCTGTCCAATGCACCTCACAAGTACACAAAATATGAGAACTGTACTGTGACCCTTAAATGCTAGAATATTTACGCTTAACCTGTGAATACTTTGATTAGAAACAGTTAAGCACTGTGTATATAGGTTTAAAGAAGCAAGGGTTAATTCAGCAAGATGATCTATAAAAACAGAAAGTGAGTAGGGAGCAGATAAGACACACTTACGTCAAGACCTAACAGTTTAAATGCGTGGACAGGAAACTCTGGAAATCAAGTTGGTAAATGCAGTAAGCCTTCCAGCAAAGAAAAACAGGACGAAAAGCCAATTCCTTTACAAAGTGTAGCGGTTTGCGTCCCGCCAAAAGGCACTTTGAGTACTAGGGGAGCAGGCAGAGTATTGTGAGGACTAAAAGAAAAAGAAAAGGCGAGTCAACGACTAAGCAGACGCAGTGTATTTATATTTGCTACGAAGAACAAAAGGCAGAAACCAGCAATAGCATAAGTCTCATATTACGACAATCTTAGGACAGAAACTAGGAATAGATAGTTTAACCCGTTACAAAGCTCCCCATTTTAAAAAAGCACTGTCCCAATGCTCGTGGTAGCTTAATCAGAGCCAGGTCCAAGTCCGCATTATTTCAGTCTTATCATCTTGGTAGGTTAGCCAAATACGTAGCGGTTTGCATCTAGCCAAAAGGTACTTTGTGTACTAGGGGAGCAGACAGAGTAGCGTAAGGACTGTAAAATAGAAAAAGGGCGAGTCGACGGCCCAGTAAACACACACGACGTACTTACATCGAATAAAAAAGCAGTAGACAGCAACCAGAAATAATACGTCTTAGTTCAAGATAATCTTAGAACCGAAACTAGAGGCAGACAATCTGACGATATGAGAGTCATTAGTGGCTGACCCGCGTCAATCCCTCAAGGTCACTGGTACAAACAAACGGATGTGTTGGAAAGAAGCAGCTTATTCGTTGTTCCTCTAGACTTATGAGAAAACACTGGCAAGGAACAGGACTGAGCAATAATTTGATTTCTAAAACTAGTATTTTGTACTGGATTGTTAAGATTCAAGTGGTATTTTCCTGTTCAAGTTTCGACGTCAGTGAGCTGTTCTAGACCAATTCATAGAGGTTCAGCCATTTCCGTGTTATAATCCTAATGATCTTAACGATTATTTGATGGTTGATAATTTCTGGAGGTCCGTTAAGCGAAAGCTTCTTTCATTCCGTCCACTACCATTTGAACCATTTGAATGAATTTACTAGAACAGGCAACAAATACGTCGCTCTGTAGTCATTTGTTTAATCGTAGTGAATATTTTGTGACTAAAACTAGATGAATGGAGAAAAGTAGATGGCAAACCAATTAGTATTAAATAAACTAATGAATATAGCGATAGGTAAAACAACATGTATGTCATGTGGCAAGAGGATGGTAAATCTAGTATACTTAACGACTCCTGTTGGTGTGCAAAACCCTAATAATGTTTCAACCTGGATAATCATAAAATTGTCTAGTTTTATCTGTTATTCCTTTGAAGCCATTTACTGAGATATTAAAAATATTAAAAGTGAAGGCATTCCAGACAAAGCGAGACCTGATATGAGTGGTCGAAATCTTTTCGGAGTCTAGTCCAGATTAGTGCGGTAGATTTAGAATAAAAGCAAAAAAATATCTAACAGTATCAATAAATTTTTGCACTGATCTGGAGATACCGCCAACCTGAAATCATGTAAACGAAGCCTGTCAAGCTTAGAGTTAACAAAAACATCGCAACTAGATTGACAGCCAAAGAAAAATAAGTGAAATTACTGAAACCTTTCATAGCAGAGGGAATTTAAAGTAGACCTAATGTGATACCTGTAAATGAGAGAAGAGAATCTTGAAAAGTTAAGAAGATCGACTTTCCTGACAACCGGAGGAACGATTATTGCAGACCCAATTATTGAACGTACATGAAATGTTTGGGCAATATAAGAGACTCGGAGAACCACTCAAATACCCAAAGAAATTATAAGCTACAACTCCACTTGACTCACAACCAGCGGAACTCACCGGACACTATCTGCACAGAAATGATCAAATTCACGAGACCCTCCATTATCTTCCGGTCATCAGGAGGAAAATACGCTTACTTACTTTTTTACTTACTTACTTACTTACTTACTTACTTACTTACTTATGCTTGTTACTCCCAATGGAGCATAGGTCGCCGACCAGCATTCTCCAACCCACTCTGTCCTGGGCCTTCCTTTCTAGTTCTATCCAATTCTTGTTCATTCTTCTCATTTCTGTCTCCATTTCTAGGTGTAATGTGTTCTTTGGTCTTCCTCTCATCCTTTGGTTTTGAGGATTCCATGTGAGGGCTCACCTTGTGACGCAGATGGATGCTTTTCTCAATGTATGGTCTAGCCACTTCTAGCGCTTCTTCCTGAATTCTTCTTCTACCCGAATAAAGGAGGAGGGTTGGGCATGACGTTAGCGATCCCATCCCATAGAAAACTAACTCGCTAAAATACGCATCTAGAAAAAGTGATTCAAACCATTTAAACTCTGCCATGGGAGTTAGAATGTCTTTATTTAGAAGAGTTATGACGCCTCGTGGTGAAAGCCAAGTTCATTCGGAAGTCACGAGACTGATGCCCCTTCTGACGACCAGAGCAATCACTAATTTAGGCACATGGAATGCTCATAAAATGTGGGAGGGCAAAATACCCTACATGCACGAAAAACTCGACTGACCCTTTTCTCCCTCCCTCAAAGAAGCAACAAAGTGGTCTGAGAACGGGAAAACAACGGCTCCACAACCATCATAGCTTATTCCAAAACAAACAAGCGAAGGTAACATTACCAAGGTTTGACTCGATAACTTAAAATAAACTGAGCAATGGGTACATTGATGCTAATAAAAATAATACACTTATAATATCTTAATGAGTAGAACTGTTAAGTTCTTTCCCCACAAACCCATACACAGAGATAATTGGGATCTGACTGACAGCGGTACAGAAAACAAAATTCATCATACATGCATCAATAAGGAGTTCAGAAGCTCCTTCGAAGACGTAAGAACAAAAGCAGAAACCTACATACCTTCAGATCATCACTTGGTGACGGCCAAACCAAATATGTAGCTGGAAAACTTATTTACTTACGCCTGTTACTCTTAGAGAATGAGCACAAGCCGCCCACCAGCACACTCCATCCGGCCCTGTCTGCTGCAATCCTTTCAAGCTCTTTCCAGTTCTTATTCATCGGTTTCATATCCGCTTCTATTTCCCGACGTAATGTGTTCTTTGGCCTTCCTCTTTTCCGCTTCCCTTCAGGATTCCAAGTTAGGGTTTGCCCCGCGATGCAATTTGATGATTTGCGTAATCTATGTCCTACCCATTCCCATCGTCTTTTCCTTATTTCCTTTTCACCTGGAAGCTGGTTTGTCCTCTCTCTCACAGTAGGTTGTTGCTGATGTTATCCGGCCAACAGATGTTCAGGAATCTTTCGAAGACAGTTTTTTATAAATAGTTGTACCTTCTTAATGATGGTTGTATTAGATTTCCAAGTTTCAGCTCCGTGCAATAGAACCGTCTTGAAGATTGTGACTTTGATATCGGTTGACAGTTGTTTTGCTTCCGATACGTTCTTTAATTGTACGAATGCAGCCCTTAATTTACCAATCCTCGCCTTTACGTATGCATCAGATCCTCCTTGTTCATCGATGATTCTTCTCAGGTACGTGAAGGATTCCATATGAGTTGTCTTCATCTGCATTTGTTTGTGTGTATGGGATAGATGAGCCATGTAATCTGCAAAGAACTAATCGTATGATTGCATGCAAGCTGTCCATTGTATTCCGCGTTTTCCTTCATATGTCAAAGTCTTTATAATCCAGCCAACCACAAGAAGAAAGAGGAAGGGAATGCATCTGTCAACTGTCCTCCATGCACCACTTCTCACTGTAGTCCGTCGTATGAGTTCCGGATAATATTGACAATCTTCTCAGGAACTCCATAGTGTCGAAGAAGTTTCCATAATGTTCTCCTGTCTACAATGTCAAACGCCTTTTCATAATCAATGAAGTTGATGTATAGTGATGAGTTCCACTCAACTGATTGTCCGACGATGGTCCGTAGTGTCACAATTTGGTCTGTGCAAGACCGATCCTTACGGAATCCAACCTGTTGATCTCAAAGTTGGGCGTCTACTGCGTCTTTCATCCGGTTCAGCAACACTCTGTTAAGGACTTTCCCTGGTACATACAGCAGTGTGATGCCTCTGTAGTTTTCACATTTGCTCAGATATCCTTTCTCTGTAACCTTGATGAGGTGTCCTTCTTTCCTCCTCCTAAATCTGAAGCTGGAAAAGTGCTACCACAAGAGCATAAAAAAGGTCTCACTTTGGGATGCTAACAGACTGAGCGACTTCCACATTACTTAACGATGATAGCTCATCAATAAATCACCTAATGAACATAGTGTGAGAACTACAAACTTATAAAATCACTGTGATATGGTGAGAAAAAACGTCAATATTCGATTGATTTACTCAATATGAGTTTTGTTCATCATTACATCCGTTTATATTCAATGTAATGATTACGCAATGTAGTATTTGTATTCTTCTCGTATGATATTTTATTCTGTATAATATACAATATTAATGTATTCCGTTGACTATGAACTATACTCAGCATATGATTTGTCATAACTGTGAGTATTTTTCATGTGTGTGATTTCATTCTGATTATTAAATCAAAATGGGTGCACAATCAATATATAAACGAGTGTATTTCCTACTACAACCGCTCGTTTTCTGGTTGTTGAAGAATATACTTCCCATTCTAAGCTTGAACTTCTCCCTATAGATAGCGGGGCTGGGGCGCATCAATAGCTAGTTTACTGGCCTTTGGTTACTGAGTCTTGTTCCCGTTCGCAGATTAAGTGAACTCGTGACAGCTTCAAGTCTAGCACACTGTCAGTAATCTACCGACTATTATCAAACAGAATTAAAGATTCGATTTATGCCAATCTCAGAGACAGACCATCTAACTTTTGTAAAAATTGACCATGCACCTAACAGATTTCTACAATGAAAATCACTTAAAAATTCGATCTCTTGCAACTCAACACCACTTGACAACGTGAACATATAAATGCCCTTGAAATATTCTTTGATATTATGAAATACCGGAGATCATTTTCATGTAGGATTCGTAGAAGTGACTGCACCGCAAAGGTATGCATGGTGAGCAGCTCACAGATGGATTCCAGTTGGGGACCGGTTTCAAGTAAGGCTGCCTGCTATCGTCTTTCCGCCTTTTTGGCTGTCGACTTTATGATTGAGACTTCTACCTACTGGATGAAGCACGGATTAAAGTGAACACTATAGACAGTTGAACGGTTTAGACTTTCCACAGTTTAAAATGCAGATGAAAATACACGGTACAACGGCAGCTTCCGTTGCAATAGATCTTCACGTTCAGAGATGAATAACTGAACCCCCCCAAGCACAAACAGTGAGTATCAACAAAATCACACTCCACGGTTAAGCTCCCAAAATATTGGGAGCCTTTACGTACCTAGTTAGCAATATTGATAAACATGGAAGAAATAATGCAAATCCGAAGCACAAACCGGTGAAGAAAGAACATCGTTCCTAAAATTAAATAATGTCTGGAGCTCAAAACAACTATCCTGAAGATTCAAAGTCTATGCTTTTAAAATAATTCTAATGTAAAAAGCCAAAAACTGCAAAACTGCTACAGTTATCATCTAAAAGTATGTGCCATTGGATTCTCCCCGGTGATCCATAACACATATAGAAATTAGGGTGACTAATATCAAACCTTGAATGTGACTCTTCAACTTAATATTTAATTTGAAAAACTTCAAACAAACAAATGGACTAACAAAGGTCCAAAC